TGATGTAGGTTTTGTGGGCCGGTGAAGGAAACCCCAGAGTATATTCAATGTGCCTGTCCACGAAGGATGAATAGTAGATTAATGCACCTTGGAGAAGGATTGTCTTCTCCATCTAAAATTTTTATCCAAAGTGCCGAGCTTTTTAAATAGCCTAAGGTTGTGGATTTAGCACAATATATCTTCTTAGGTCGCAACGCGGGTATCTCCGTCGTAATAATAATAATATAGTCACTTGACACGAATAAAGACACTCGGGTGTTTTGACGGCGAAAAAGGATGCGTGAAAAAAATTTGTGAAAAAAGACGCGTAAACATGGATTCAACATCATTCCGGAAAAAACTCTTTTGGAAATTCGTATACTCGCAAACATAGTTGACCGCGAAAATAAGTCTTCTTCGCTTTTCTTCGCCGTCAAAGAGGTTAACGCGTCTTTCTTTTCCCTCGCCTATGTTAAGGGCCGGTTACTCAATGTCTGGTTAACACTACGATTAAACATAGTTATCGACGTTACCGACTCCCTGTCGTATGCGTGGAGTCGAACACGTCGATAAAGATGTTTAACCGAAGACTAGTGTTAACCAGACATTGAGTAACCGGCCCTAAGAGTTCTTCTTCGCCGAAAATTTTTACGCGTCTTTTTGCGCTGTCAACTTTTGAGCTCGCGTCTTTATTCAAATCTAATGACAATATGTATGTATGTACTGTAAAATGAATCGTTATACGCAGTTAATTTGTTTTTATGGTACTGTACTAGCTGTGTTTTAGTTTTACTAAATGTTATGTTAGCTATGTTTTTAAAAAATTTGACATTGAAAAAAAATATATTAAAACTCAAAAAAATGTTTGGTAGGTTTTGGTTGGTTATGGCAGGAAATTTTGGTGAGAAAATAAATGTGTCTGTGGCAACGCTGCCGCCGGCGAACTGTGCTTTTCATCCGACGGCGAGTTCGCTGGAGAGTCCTTTGTGAACGTCGCCGGCGAACGAATTGTTCAGCACAACGAGTCGGAAACAACGTCGATACGAATTCGTTTGGCAAATTGGGCCAATAATCGCTGAAGTTCCGTCATATCCTTGGCCATAAAAGTACGAATAATCGATACCCAGTTGAGAAAGAATGAATGAATACTTTGAATTAAAATTAAAATTCCAAATCCTAGATCCGCTACTGGCCTCGATTTAAGCCTAAAATCAATTATCAACCAATTAAATACATAGAGTTATTTCCTACTATGTTACACTGTTTTACCGATTAACATAATTACATACTTACAAATTAATTGAATAAACACGGTTTAGTTACAAACCATTAATTCAAATATATCTAAAAAAAACGTCTAAACCAGTGATGGGCACCGCCTTGCCCGCGGGCAAAGCTCTTTTCAGCTTTCTATACATTTTGTATGGGAGCATGCATAGCTGGTCTAAACTAATAATGAAAAAATTCACCTTTCTTGGAAACATGCTTATCTTCAAATAATTGGTTTATCTCCAACTAAATGCATACATGCGTCTTTCAATAGAAATGTGCAACAACGGAAATGTATAGCTAGCTGTTCAATTGGTTTCTGCTTATTGCCTTTGATCTCTCGTTGCGCCTTAATTACACCTAACAGCTTAGTTTGGCATCGCCGGTGTCCTAACAGCCAACAGTCAATAAGTATTTGTTTGTTTACTGGTATTAGTGGTGGCAATCATTGATAAGCAATAACGATGTCCTGTCGAGCAAAATGCCATTGAACACCAC